CGGCTCTCACTTCTTACTCTAGTTTACCGGGCTGCCCCAAGAGTTGAAGGGTCGCCAACGACGTTCAGTCCTGAATGCATCAAGGCTGCACGAGCAGCACTGGAAAAGCACCAAGAATGCGTTGCCATCATGCGCAAGTCCCACGATGTTTACTTTGCAACCTACATTCACTGGTCAGTCAAACTAACACTCATATGATGTACCGCTTTCTAACACAAACTTTTCTACATCCAGGACTGTGCTTTTCGCACCATTCATCCCCTTCATCGTTCTCTTCTGTCAGGTAATTGAGACCCAAGACAAGGAAGACCTGGCACGACTGCATTCTTTCGTGGTGTTCTTGCAAGAGACATCAAAGATGTCCGACGCAGCGGCCAAGATGTGCCGCCTCTTCCAAGTCCTCTACAGCGTCGCGCTTCATTTCGTTGAATTCCGCGCGTCAACGCCTCAGTCGCGACAGACGCAGGCCAGCGCCGAGATGGACGCTTACTTGGCAGCCTTGGGATTCCCACCAAAAGGGGTCGAAGGGGGTCAGCATCCGCAGCAGCAGCAACCCACCGCGTTTGCCCAGATGACAAGCACTGCGCCAGACGTGGTCCCAACGTCTGGAATCGCGGGCGTTGGAATCGATGCCATGGACGAGAGCTTGAGGCCCGGTAACCCAATGATGTGGATGACGAATGCCGCTCAATTGGAAGACTTCTTCTACACTAATACGGCGATGATGGATCTATTACAAGAGCCCGGATTCGAAGCAACTCAACAGCACTAGAAGCTCGAATCACGCCGGAAAGGTAAAGCGAAGGCTGTCCGACATGACTCTGAGCGATACAACCTCAGGACTAGCCCCTACTCACTTGAGTACGAGAGGAGCGCCGAGAGAGCGCAGGGTCGAGGCTTAGAGAAGGGGAAGAGAAGGGCACAAAGTGATAGAAGGCAATGGTTGAGCCCATTAGTCTGGTCGCATGTTGGGCCACACAAAACTTTTCTTGGAGAGGTCGTGTCACTAAGAGACCGTCTCGCTGTGAGGAGGCGGCCATAGAAGCCAAGTCTGCACGTGATTCTCCCCTCAATTTTGAATATTTATTGCCTCACTTGTGATTAGCTCCAACACCAAGAACACAATCTCGAGCTCCCGTCAAAGAAAAAACCGAGCGTGCGACTGATTTCGCACTGAATTTCAATATCATCAGAATATCATGGAGTTCGAGTCTGAGTCTAAGCCTGTCCTTCTGAGTGCGCTTCTTAAGTGGTGTGATCGGGTGAAGAGTGACCGCGAAGTCCTGCAAAGGTGTAAGAGAAGCCTCGATGATGCAGGCCTGCGGGAATTGGAGGTGAAGGATGGGTGTCCATTCTGTACACTTCTCGACGAAGCAGTCTCAAAGCTGTATGGCGACTACCTTTCTGCTGGCAGATCACTTGGATGGGTGTCATTCCCGCGTGTTCTAGAGGCTATCCGTGATGATGGGGGAAATCCACTTCGGTTTTGTGTATCCGAACGTAAGTAAACCGAGTCGTTATCGTAAGATTAAGTTGCCAGATCCCAATTGGAACTCAATACCCGGATAGCTGAGTGGCTAATGAAGTTGAGCTAGATACCGACTTGACTGAACGTTTACGCCCATTCCCGACCTTGGGATTCGGCAACTGGCATCTGTCCAAGTATAAGTCTATCTCCCGGGATACTGCCTCAGAATCGACCCTAAAGATAGTGAAGGAATGGCTCCTTTACTGTGCAACAGACCATCCGCTATGTAGTAAGGATGGTAAGGTCAAGCTGCCAACTAGGCTTATTTGCATTGGCAGAAAGGCGTCTGAAGTACGTTTGCTCAAGACGAATGGTGCTACTGGCAAATACGCCTGCCTGAGCCACCCTTGGGGCAAGCGTCCATTGTTGCGAACACTGAAGAAGAATCTCTCTCAATTCACCAATGAAATCCAGTGGTCAGATCTGCCTCCCACTTTCAGAGACGCAATCGACTTTACCTACCGACTTGGCCTCAAGTATATCTGGATCGATTCCCTTTGCATCATTCAGGATGATCCTCTCGACTGGCAGAGAGAGGCCGCCAAAATGTCCGACATTTATCAGAATGCCTACATAACGCTCGCAGCTTCCAAAGCAGTCGACTCCAGCCGCGGGCTTTACACCTCTTCCTTGGATCCTAAACATCAATCGCACCAGCTGTCACTCATGAATGATGTGGATGATTCAGATCTCAAACTACACGCGTATTCGGAATTGCTACATATTGATAGCTTCTGGTCCTACTTCCCTATCACAAAACGGGCGTGGGTGTTTCAGGAACGTCTGCTCTCAGGTAGAGTTGTACACTTTGCCGGTTCTGAATTGAATTGGGAATGTCGCTCAGCGAGGACATGCGAGTGCGGTGAGATCTCAACCTCCACCTCTTTGCCTGAGAAGATCCAGTTCTCAGGTAGTTTGGCCGAGTTGAGTGGGCAATACAATTGGATTGCAGAAGGACTGCCGCCCTCGGCACCACGAAATGGCCAAGACGAAAACCTGGACTACAGCAAGTTTACCCCGGCACTACTCCATTCGCCCAAGTGGACCAAAAGCGTCAAAACGTGGCGACAAACAGTACAGTCTTACTGTGCTCTGAACTTGACATTTTCAAAGGACATCTTCCCGGCTTTGGCCGGCATTGCAAAAGTGTGGAATCCCGAGTACGAGAAACTCTATCGAGCGGGGCTATGGATGGACTCGTTGCATCTAGATCTTTTGTGGCTCGTCTATAAACCTGAAAAGCGTCCTATTGCATGGAGGGCCCCGACATGGTCGTGGGCATCTCTTGAGTACCACAACGACGAGTTTATTCGCTTCGACTCTGACTCAGATTGCAGAAACTCTGGCAAGGGCAGCTGGTTCTCGTTGGGGAAGATAGGGAGCGAAGATTACTCTCCTGTTGCAGATATTCTGGAAGCAATTTGCGTTCCAGCTGGTATTGTCGATCCAACCGGAGAGCTTGACTCTGCCCACCTTCTACTTTCAACTTTTGCAATCTCCGGAACACTAGTGAAATGGCCGGGAGTACTTGTTGAATATGGTGTCAGTCCTGTCTGGCTCGTTGTCGGGAACTTATGGATCAGCCAAGGCGACAGCCATACTAGGGGCTTGCATTTGGACGCTCCGATCATTGGCGCTAATTCCGGGTGGTCGATTCCCGTTCGCATTATTCGAATAACGGATTTCGGTGCCAAGACAGGTAACCATCCTGATATGGCCTGTCTGGTGATTCGATCAAAACGAGCCGCAACCGCAGATGGACACATTGAGTATGAACGTCTTGGTTACGTCCGATTTGTAGAACAAGGATTCTCACAAGTGCCGGCCATCCCGAACGAACATTCAACTCCAGAACCCAGCATTCGAGATTGGTTGATAAGATATCGGGAATATATCAAAGGGAAACATACGCGGGAACTGGGTGTATCGAATCTGGGGCGTCTCAAAGATTGTTTCGAAAAATCAGGGCGTGAGATTTTCAAGATTGTGTAGTTATCTAAGCGTTTGTCCTTCACACTGGTACTTAATATGACCTTGCGAAGAGATATGATTCAGGTGGTCACTATGGAACAAGTAACATTGCTGGTATTCTAAGTTACAGTATGATCTCATCCGTGATTCGAAAGTACGTCAAAAACAAAGTAATGAATGTCTCAATACTTATGGATCAGTAGATTGTGATCGATGTCTCGGGCTTTGCAGCTGCCCAGACGTTTCGATACCAGATCTGCCTTTCAGCCCAATCATCGCAAATAACCTCCAATAACCCTACTCTGATGTAAGAACTTGTCGCGTCCTTGGAAACAATAAGAAAAGAATCCCGTGTGCCTTTTGTCCGAGCATTCCTGCTGCCCAAACCATAACCTTTGATGTAGATCAACTCAGCAGGAAGAAAGGTGCAATGCCTACACAATTCCGGGAATTCTTCAGGTCGGCTATTGCGTATGAAGCAGGAATTCATTCGCTCAACTGAAGGGTCAACCCATACCTCCGATTCCGCAGTCCCAAACTCAAGTGGTGCCTCACCAGTCACTGGCGCACATTCTTCCCGAAACTCTCGCTTGTCTTCCCGGGCATAAAGAAGATACCTGCCGTAAATCCAATTTGTCCAACGTCGTTTCCGATCCCAGTGTGAGCACGGTCGCTGTATCATGATAGACAGGCGCTTTATCACCGCTGTCAGGAAGCCAAAGGACACCGAGCCATAGAGGTCAGCCCCAGAAGGTGAACAGCTTATCTGGGCTGTTTCCATAATCCCGGGAGTCTTGTAGTCCAATAACTCGGCATTCTGAAACGTAGGATAGTCTACTTTGCAGCCACTTCCTGTGGATGCCCAAGACCAAGTCGGGGCGATCCATCCTCGTTTTAGTATCTTCGCGCGTTGCTTCTTCCAATCCGCCACAGTAACAACGCGCCACATGAGGTCCTGTTCAAGATTATTCTTCCACATACCAGCCAGATAGGTATCATTTGTCACTTCAGCAGTCTCATGAGCAAGGCCTGAAAGTGCCGGGAGCATATCCCCCGTGAACGTAAGATTGAGGCAGGTGTACTCGCCGATAACGCGGTGCCATCTCTCATAAGGATCGATTTTCCCATTCTTTGTGGCGATGGCGGTTATTGAAGTTGTTATAGGGTTATTCAGCAGTGCCAGGTACTTCGACCGAGATCGTAGCGGTATATATGTGCCGGAGAACCGTATCAAATTGTGCCAATTCTGGTGTTGCTCTCCTCCGCACTCGCATGAGTACCCGTTGGCACAGTCAAATGCCATTTCTCCATAGTTGCAATGGATGATCCGCCGCGAGAGGAGACGTTCCTGAAGACACCAAGCCCTATTGAAAAGGGGGAAATACTCTTGTACCCTGGCGTATTCCGACATTTCGTCCCGCTTTTCACCGGTTATCAAGGCGAGTCTGAATTCGTCACCACATTCAGTAGTGATCTGAAAGAACTGGCTTGGAATTGTCTTTTAGTAGCAGCCTCCCTCAGAATCATGAGACCAGCTTACGGCAATTGTGGCGTATGAGTTGCGGTACACGTTGACCATCTGAGCTGCCTCTTTCTCCCAATCTATCTTGTCATCTTGGATGATGCAAAGTGAGTCAATCCAGAGATAGCGAACCCCGAGCTTCCTCGTGATCTCGACTGCCTGTTGGAAGCTGGGTGGAAGCAAAGACCAAGGTATTGACTCCAGTTGTCTTTTCAGATTGTCGGTTTCCGTTTTGCATTTGATCTTGATCTTTCCCCAGCAGTGGCTTAGACACATGTATGTGCCTATTTGTCCAGATGTAACTACTAGATGGACTCCAAGTCTGTCTCCGGGCTGAGTCACATCAACGAGCCTCGTAGGCAATTTCGTGTCTTTTCCCGTGCCACATTTGCTGTGTAGTTCGCAGTCATTGATCCAAGTCCGAATTCTCTGCAAGCTTAGATCGGAAGAGGTATCCCCAGCCACGCCGTTGGTGGATTGTAATCGGCGAAAGACATTGCTGGACCCCGCCACGTTGAAAAGTCTGACATAGTACACTTTGCCATCGGGAGCATCCATTTCTAGAGTGCCACTGAATTTTCCCGTCCAGCGGAATGTCGTAGAGGGGCAATTGGACCAAAATTCTTGGTAAGTGCGCTATCGAACATAGTGTTCAGAGCCTTGCAGCTCCCACAGCCATTTTGGGCTGAGTGATTCAAGTCCCCATACGTGAAAGACTTTCCTCGAGCAACCTTTTTCTTCCCGTGCTTAGTAAAGTTGTCATGTTCTGCCCTCAGTTTCGCTGTGCCCGCTCGGGATAATGTGCTCCATGAATCGAAAATGGCGCACTGGACTGAGCATCCTGTTGTTCCGAGTGCGTGAAAGAAATCAAACGATTCTGGTTTCGTACCTCTCCCGGAGCGGTTTTGAAGAGCGTGCTCTAGGGAGATCGGCACTATCCGAACTGTCATCTTAATGAGGTATTGGGTTTGCGTTGATGCTTTTTGAGAAGGTTGACCCAGAAGATGTGAAGATCGGACGGAAAACCAAAGTCAGGTCATAAACCTAGCCGGTTATACGCCTGAATTCTGTTCAAGCCATCTGCATGTGCAAAGCTCAAAATCTGAAACCGAAATAAGCGCTAAAAACCAGGCGTCCAGTGACAGCTTCCAACCCACCTCGGCTAGGCAGCATTGCGCCTCACCGAGATTCTATGTCGCCTCTAAGTGGAATAATGCTGCCTGATCTCTCCGACTCGAGGCTTCCGTTGTATGCAGAAACACAAAATTCAAAGTTCCAAGCGCCTGGCATCAGAAATGCAATACCATACTCCGCAAATTCCGTTTCTCCGTCTTCTACGAAGTCCGATCCCTCGACTAGGTTCCGCACCCAAACGCGATATCCCGCTGCGCCCTTCGACTCTTCCCACTTCAGGTGCACGGTGATGGGATTCTGAACCTCAACTTGGAGCTGAGTCGGAGTCAATGGCTTGCCGTTGCCAGCAATGAAGCTCCGGCCTCCTGCCGGAACACCACCTCCGTAGTTTGTCCAAGTACTGATCGCCAACCCATACCGATGGCCTGCCAATAGGTCGGTGAATGTTGTCGCAGTTTCTCTCAGCGCCATAGCAGTCGGAAAAGATCCCGGTAATGAGAGGTCTACGAGGATGATCTCGTATCGGTCCACTTCGATTTGCCCCTGAGGCTCTTCCCATTTGACAAGGACCTGATACAGGTCAGGTTTGGTGATTATCTTCCTAGGCCCCGGGGCTGTTTTCGGGTGAGCAGTTGCTGAGACCGTATGAGACCAGGCGGACCTAAGGCCCTCTCCATTAAAGGTCCGGACTTGGTACTGATACTCCTGCCCTTCTTGGGTCCACGTCGAGTTGTACTGGGCTACATCTGCTCTCGACTCCTTCCATGGCAGGTTGTCATTATTGCGAATTCTGACATCATAGCCGATAGCGCCGTATACCGGATTCCATTTAACACAAATCCCGTAGGGAACTGCTTCCGCGACAACATTCGCCGGCACTGGCGTCGGTCTTTGTGGGATCTCTTGTGGAATAGTGAGATCTTGGGTTCCAATGCGAAACTTTCGGGACAAAGTCCGAGAGAAGGCTCTTGCAATCTGAAATTCGCCCAAAGCATTTGGATGTAATCCATCGTAACTTCCTTGAGAACAATGGTATCCACGCCGGACCTCCACTAACTCAACCGGAGACTCAGAGGATGACCACTTTGGCACTGATGTTCGTAGAAGCTGGTTGTACTCTTCCACCATGGCAGGAAGTTTCTCTGCCCCATCAATTGGCGTCCGCATCGGTACGTCAGCAAGAGCGAAGTTGATGTCTGATTTCGCAGTGCGTGCATTATCCACGAGTTTCTTCATGGCACCGAGAGTATTTTCGGCATCCGCGACACCCCAGCCCATGTCGTTGAAGCCAAGCATAACAAGCAGATAGTCAGGCCGGAATCGCGCCACCTGCTCCTCGATGAGGTCTTTACACTGTGTTGCTTGGCGACCCCAAACTGAGAAGTGGTGAGAGTTGAAGTGCACGCCTGCAGCATAGCCGCCATGGTCTATTGGCATGTCAGGTGCTGGTAGCGGGTCGTCTTTCAGAGCCGGTGGTTGCGGTGGACGAGGTTGATCCGGAGTCTTTGTTCCTTCATACGGACCAACAAATTCAAAGTTGATCTTCTCTTCTGTGAGCCACTGCCATAGCCTATATCGCCATGCAAAGTCCCCTTCACGGCCTTGAGACATGGAGTCGCCGACTACCATGGTCCGAACTGGCCGGGTGCTCTCTGGAATCATGTCACCCATTTGAAAACTGCAATTGGGGCCTTGCGTCGGTTGGTGGGAGATGGAAATCGATCTCTGTCTGAAAGAGTCATCGGCGAACCCTCATTTTTGGCTCAATGTCAGACGTAGTGTTGCGAAGTGCAGGTCGCGGCACTGAGGAGAAGCTTTGGTGTCGTCATAGCACGGACGCCGATATCAGCGAATCGCATTCAAGTGACATTCGAATGAGAAGCGTTTTCTCAATGGTCCTCGACTTCTTGACTAATGTGGAGATCGACTTACCACTGTACTTAGCTCTAGATCCAGCAAGGGTGAGTTCAATGTATTTAGCGTGCTAGGCCTTAAGCACGTTGACCCTTGTGCAGTTAAGCAGGGTCAGCCCAGGCAGATCTACCTGACAGCTCCCCTGAATGTGGGGTGTCTAAGGACAGAGAATCTGCATCTCACCGACATTACTCGTTTAGGGCAGAACCACAACGTACCCTACCGTGATACTGCAAATTCTTCACGTTGAAGGTATCAACATCCGATATGGTGTAGTGGCCAACATGATGCCCTCTCATTTCTTTGAGAGGTTAGGCATAGCCCCGAGTTCGATTCTCGGTTTCGGAAATCGTGTGCTTTTGCGGTGAATAAAGTTTTGTCTTGAGGCAATAAGTGCCAAAATGGGCGTTACATTCACAAGTCCCAGACTCTGATGTCCTGAGGACGTTGGGTTGAGGGCTCCATTTTCGGCTTCGCAACTTTTTATTGATACTTCAGACTGTCTGTTCAATGTCTCCAAGCACACTCTTTGCCGTAATACAGCCAATAAAATCCATAGATGTTTGTCCCATGCTGTCACGAGCCGTTGCCTTGCTTCTGCTTCTCCGTACAAAACTTCCTCTCGATTTCCCTACTCTTTGGAAATAATGTGCGGGTTTGTCGGCGGGCCGTATGCATCAACAACAGTATCCTTCTTGGAGATGATGTGAGGGTTCGTGGGAGGACCGTAAGCTTCGACCGCGTCTCTCTTGGTATCAACAGCGGGAATATGCGGGTTCAGAGGAGGACCGTAAGCTTCAACAACTGAGTCCTTCTTTGAGATGATATGAGGGTTGGTAGGAGGGCCGTAAGCCTCGACGGCATCTTTCTTCGAGATGATATGAGGGTTGACGGGAGGACCATAGGCTTCGATCGTGTTTTCTCTCTTGGACTCAACGGCCGGAATGTGAGGGTTGAGGGGAGGGCCGTATGCCTCAACGGCAACCGGCGCGGCGTAAGCCAACGAAGCGCAAGCGGCGACAGTGGTAAGAAGGGTTTGGACACGCATTTTGATGTAGAACGAGAAGAACGGCGATGATACTAAGTCTCAAAGCAACAGGACTGATCTTGGGCACGGTAATATAGTGATGGTGTTACGACTGTCAATCAAGATAGAATCAATATTATATGCCTTTTTCAATTCTACATTTCCCCTCTCTCTAGTCCTTCTTCCGGCCTGTCTGGATCACCACTCACGATGTGACAGTCGTAAGCACCCCTTGCGTTAACGAAATGCAGCACGAGGAACAATACGCCCGCAGAGTACAAATCCGGAATACACGCCGCCAACGTGACAGTCAACAATCCTTCGTTCCGTTCCTTCGGCTCGAATTCACACCTTTCATACCAAACACGGCATGCGTAAATCTCACATGAAGTAATGAAGCCATTCGCTCCTAGCTAGACTCACTTCTCTTTCTCTTGACTGGCTGACCCCGATTGAACAGGGGGTGAATATTCTAGCCATATGAAGAAGGTAGGCACACATCCCACTATGCCAAGCACCGCACAACCCATAGTTACCGAAAAGACTGGGCAGTTAACAAGGCTCACTGGGAATTGGTACCTGTATCAATCGCCAGTCAACTAAGCACCTGCGCTGTAGAAACAGCGCGTCTATGAACTAGCGCCACCTTTGTTCACCTTAGGTGGTTCCGGTCCTCGCCGCTGTAGGATCAGTCCCCGGGGTTCAAGAGGAGTGTTATCTCTTCTTTCGCTCCTCTACCCCTCCCTTCGACATGATATGCAATTGCTTACTCCTATGCGCCTTAAATCCACCAGACAGAATCGAGCGATCAGTCCGATTCCTTTGCCCGAGTTTCGAGCTAACCTTCCCCTTTGCTCACAAGCCGAGGGTTTGCCCCCTCAGTGTCGCGGAATGGATCCCCATTTTGTACTTAATCGTCATGTTCTTGGCAATCCTCCTCATTCTTGGCGAATCCTTCAGCCATCCTTATGTATTACTTAATTCGAGACCGCCGTATCATATTGGAATGTGAGGTCGACACCCGACGATGTAAACCAGGTATGCAATTGAGGCTTGACAGGATTTGGCAGGTGATACCATCGCAACTGACGATTACAAGCGATCACGGCATCGTCGGCAGAATCCTTCTTTTCGCTGTCGGTGATCAGAGCCCCGAGATTTCCGATCCACTATCGATATCATCCTGTCGGAAAGGGATGTCCAAGCCTCTTACCAGGGAGTATTCTCGAGCTGAAACCTACCTCCGGCATCAACCACTTCTTTGTCGAAAATGAAAGAGATCTATCAAAGTGTCTCAGATCAAGACTCAACCGACGATTTGTGCCCTACCGTAAGCTTACAATCATTGGAAACTCGCGTTCTCAGAAAACTGGGTAGTAGCTCACTGACGAAATCTAGCCAACATGGCATGAACCTCGACAAGTTCGAGGACAATGGAGCCTTCAGTCAAAGGTCATTACTGCGGTCAATACGATATTCTTCCTCACATCATGCGGGGTCCTCCTCGTCTCTTCGAGATGGCTCAATGACCCGGTCCATCTGATGAAGCGCGTGTCACCCTACAGTAGGATAATCTTGTCTTACCTAAATTCAATCTCAGTCTTGCTGAAATGATTTGTGGCACAGGTCCAATTCTCGACGATGTTCCCATCCAGCTAGAAACAGTCGAGGTCAAAGGAACGTTGTTCAATGATTACACACCTCCACGCATATGGCGCGAGCAACCCAGTGAAGAGGTCGATAAAGCTTGGGACGACATGGCGAGGATTGAGTACTTTGGCATAAGTGGTGATGCACTCAGGAAAATGGGCAAAGATCCTGAGATATCTGTCTCTATCCCAGAGGAGTGGGGTGTCGGGTCGGACAAGTATCTCGTTGAAATTGACATGCAGCATCAACTTCACTGCCTGAATGCAGTTCGCAAGTATGCTTACTTTGACTACTACTACGGTAATGATTACAGGAACATGTAAGTCGTCTACTGGGGTCATCGAGCGACCGTATGTGAACGTTGGTTGACGATGGCACTAGCTCAATGGCGCCACAACGACACCAGGCACACCTGGCACATTGTGTGAGTCGGAATCGCACACGGTATTTTCTTTTCACCCTTTCTAACATGTTCAACAGATAGATATCCTCTTACAAGCTCTCACTTGCAACCCGAGCTTGGACTTGATCTCCCATAATTGGATGAGAACACAGGAGAATCCGTATCCTGATTTCAACATCAAGAGGCAGTGTGTGGCGCACGACCCAATACTAAAGTGGCAGCATGAAAATGGCATCTCAGAGCAGATTCTGAAGTACAAGAACCTACCAAGGCCAGAGAGGTTTCCAGAAGTAGAACCGGAACCCTCCATCTTGAAGATCGGAGAAGATTTGGGTCATCACGAAGGACATCTTAGGCTTTGAATTGTTAACTCTCAATACCTCGAGGATACTTGCTTAATCATGCACCTATATATACAAACAATCGTTGGTCCGGCACATTCGTAAATATCACCGGGGCACTTGTCAGATAACTGAACCATATGAATTTGAATACAGTCAAGGACTACACAAATGGACCCCGTAGAAATAACTCTTCAAATAAATAAATTGCACAGATTCGCAACCCGACTTGAAGAGGATCCTCTCTTCAATTCGTTGTCTGAGACACGACTTGATCCGCATGATCTCCATGTGCTTTGAACTTCCAAGTGTTGTGGAAACAACTCTCTGCACAACCCCTTTCGTGGTCTTGATGAGGATCGTAATGATCACGGTTCTTCTTCAAACATGCCTCCTTCAAGTTTCCATGGTTGTTTTGTGGTTCGTAGTGTTCATCATTATGGAGACGTCGGTGTAGAGACTCGTGTAAGATGGCGTTGCGGGGTATATCTCGAGGACCGCCTTTGTTGAGGGGCCACTGGCAAAGCTTCCACTGTTTGGTCTTGTCATCGAGTTCCCATCTCTTAATAAGAGGGCAAATCTCTGCAAATGTTAAATCATCATGTCAGTCATCTAGTCAAGATATGAATGATCCGAGAGTCACTTACCAAGCAGGTACCACATAAATGGCTTGAAGTAGCCCATTCCCTTTCCAGGTCGAAGAAGGTCATGGATCCATCCCTTCAGGGCCTGCTCCTGCTTCACCTGATCCTGGTAGATGCTTTGCTTGAATCTGTCCAAGCGTCTTGGCCGCCACTTCAGCCCCGTCTCATTCTTCTTACCGTTCTCCTCACTCTTCTTTATGTACTCCTCGTCCGCGAGCTCAAGCTCGCGGATCATCCAAGAAAGTGGAATATCGCTCAGCTGCATATCCTCGCTATCATCGAGCTCTTCTGCCTTTCTTCCCCTCCCAAGCATTCTCAAAAACCTATCCCAAAGAGTTGGAGGGTTCAAGTAGTCAGGAATATCATCCGTTCTGAAGTCACCGTTTTTCAACTTTTCCTCCCTGATCCTCTGGAGCTCTCTGTCTCTCCATGTCGGATCATCCTTGATTGCCGACCAACCCCCACCAACATCGCCATGGTTTCCAGGGAACCACACTTCCTTGATGTCATCTTCAGCATGGCGGTGCCTTCCCTTGTTGGAAAGTTTGGTAACATCTTGCGCGAGAAGAGCAGGCTTGAACTTGACTCGGAACTCGTCCACAGCAACAGCATGGCGCACATAGGTTGCGGTACCCTTGACAGAGGCCGGCTTGTCGCCAACCTTCTCGAGGACTGCAACGGAGTTGACGCAGTCCCACATGCCGAGAAAGAAGACCTTGATGTTTTCTTTCCCGCAGTCGCCCTCTTCCTTGCGACAAAAGGTCTTGCTGAAGGCCTCCATCTCGTTTCTCTTGCCTCTTCTTCTCCAGCCCTTGGGCTTCTTGATTGCGTCGTTAGAGCTGCTGATTCCGATGGGGAAGGCCTCATCAACAGGCGTATCTGGTGGACTCGCAGGCGTTTCGTAGGTACTGACGGTGGGGGCCTTCGTGTTTTTGGTTGTTTGGCCATTGGTCTCTCGGGCATCAGTAGGATTGATCACGGTGGCCTTTTCTTCTTTGCCGCTCTTCTTGACCTTTGCTAGATGGTCCTGGTAGAGTTTGTATGCAAAGGGTACCATCTCTTCGTTGCCCTTGCAGAGAAGACCAACGGTGTTGACCATGCGACACAGGAATCTGGCGGTGAAGGCCCCACGACTGAAGCCAAAGATGTAGATTCTGTCACCCTTGAGATAATCGTCAGTACCAGGAGACGTTGAGTACACATAGCATCAAACCTACCGTCTCATAGTAGCGCATGAGGAATCGATATCCAGCAATGACATGGGAATCGAACGTGCTCCCAAAGCCCATGTCGATCTTCTGAGAGATATTGCTGCGGAACTCGCCGACCCAGTTCTTGTTGACACTCGTGTCGTCAACGTTGTATGTTCCGATACCGGCTATTGTCAATGGTGTGTAAGAGATTACTATACCCAAAGAAATCTTCAGCGTTGACTCTACTTACTCTGGTAGTAGTGGTACTGGTGCTTGTCATTGCGATCGAGCATACGCAAGAGCTTCACGACATTGGTGTCAGAGCCGGAGCCACTGAACGAGTTGCCTGTGCCATCGAAGCAGAGAACGAGCTTCCTGCTCTCGGTCTGTGCTTCAGTCTCGATAGACGCCATGGTGACGCTTGTCTCCAGTGTATGGAATGAGAAAAGATACTGCAGAATGCTCGGATTCCGAGATGAACTTTGATTCTTTAAAAATCCCTTGGAGCCAGGCTGGCCGAGCAAGAGCGTCCGTATCAATCATATATGCATTTCCACCGCCAACAACAACAAGTCAAAAGATTCCACGTGACCCGAGTTCTTGCACTCCTCTCGATGTTGTTGCTCGCAATGAAAAACATCCAATCGCAGACTGGAACGCTACTAGAGTTCAGCCATGATTCCTCTGTCCCTTATTCTCCATCCCTTTCGGGATGGAGATCTCAGCCCTGTATCACAGTCCTGGAGACTAAAATGTCTTTCCGGTCCTATCTTCTCGCAACGGATCGTAAAGCAAATTGCGTTTTCAGAATCCGGTCTCTGCATGTGGGGAAGATCTTCCGTTTCAACGACTCAGCTGGCCACGCCATGGCTGCTTCGGTAGTAAGGGTATAAGTCAACATACCCACTTCCTGGCACCCCCTGTTTCTGGCACCCACAAAAACGCGAAAATCCACCACAACCCAATGCCCACCCCCAACCTCCTTTTATCACAACATTTTCAATTCGCGTCCAAATGGGCTCATCTTTTGCACATGTCTTCTTCTATATATAATGCCTCAATATACCGAAGATCAGCTTCGTCAGGCTCTCGAGGA